TAGAAAAAGATGAATATGTAAACGAGTTTATGTCTGTATAGAGAAGTGATAACCTGGAATCATGCTGTTCTCAAAAAGATATTTTAATTGTATGTTTTGTGAAAACCCAAATAAAATTTTTACAAAAAAAAAAATTGTTTTTTGAACATAGGACTCCAAATGAATGAAACTGTTACACCAGTAAAGGATACCTCTCTTTTTCTTTAAAGGGGTGATTATACTGGTATTATTTAAAATCTAAGCTTATTTTATGGTCTTTAATGTTTTCCTCTCAAAATAGGAAAACTGTCCTGTTGCCACACCATAGGAGTTGGAAGTCACTGAAAAGAGCTTTGGATTACCATATGAACTTTAACTTTTTTTTTCACAAAAAACAGAAGTAAATGATGGAACTGGCAAAAAAATGCCTAAACTTGTAAGACTGCAAACAGCTATAAATGTGAGCCAGATGCCAATGCCCAAAATACAATCATGAGACTGTGCGCGCGTGTGTGTGTGTGTGTGTTCACATACTTGCATGCAGTTTTGAAACTTCAAAAATGGATCATAAATAGCTCTGGAGAGGTACATCATAACTCTGAATAGTTATTAAATGATAAGTCATTAAGTGAAAACTATATATAGTCCAACCTGCATTAGAGTCACTGAATATTTCTATATGCAGGTGTTTATTTGCCTACCTTCATAAATGCTCCTGAAGAGGTGCATAAATATCAGAGCAGTATAATCTTTTCTACCAGTCTCAAGAAGAGATCTTTCTTTGCTTTGATATGCAGCTGAGCACAAGATATTTTTAGTGTTAAAATAGAAACAAATGCCTATAGAGAATATGATACCTGGAGAGGGGGAGTATCAATGTTAATAATTACAGACATTTTATTAATATCACCACATAGAGAGCCAGAGTCAATATTGATGAATAGACAAAGCATGATGTCTGGATGGGAAGGCATAAGCTTCCAGGTTTAATTCTGTACTATATACTTTAAGATACTACAACCATAGTCCCCAGAGATTACCTTGTAGTGGGAAGCAAAACTTCAGTGATTCAGCCCACTGCGTTGTAACAAAGCTATTTCCATACCCGCCCCACCCTTCTTCACCTCCCCTTTTCTTGGTCTGCTTATATGCTGCACATTTATCTAAGACAGAACTAGATATTTGAAATACTGTCAATTAGGGCAGTGGCCCCCAACCTTTTCTGTGCCACGGCCCAGTACCGGCATCACAAAATGATCCGCGGCCCTGTACCGGCATCAGCATGCATGACAAGGCAAGGCGAGCCGAGCAACTGGCCAGCCAGCCGTCCCCCGCTTCTCCCCGCCACCTTCAACTCCTCCTTTGTACCTTTGTCGATGGGCTTCGCTTCGGGACAGCTTCGGGACAGTCGCTCAGCTCCCCTTGCCTTGGGTGCTGAAAGAATCCTCGCACCTTAGTTTCGTTCGAAGCCCCCCACCCCCTCAATGAAACTAAGGCACGAGGATTTCTTCAGGACCCAAATGCCGCTTTCCAACCAGAAAAGCTCACCCAGAAGCACTTTCTCGTCAAACAAGATGGCGGCGCCCAGCAAACCGGCAGCCGGGTAGGAAATGTTCCACGGACCGGTACCAGTCCGCGGCCCAGTGGTTGGGGACCCCTGAATTAGGGGATCCATCTATCACAAATAGTCTATGATACTCACCTTCTGCCTTGCATGTGTCCTAGAAATCTGCTCGTTACACAAACTTGACCCAAAGGACCATCAAAAAAAAGATTGATACAGTACAGTGAAAACTATCTGAATCTCTTTATGGAACTGCAGAAGTCACCTGGAGATATGGTATCAAGCTATTTTTTGGGTTCTGGAAAAAAGGGCATGTCAGATCAAGTTTAGCCTATGGTTCCCAAACTTGGCAACTTTAAGACTCATGGACTTCAACTTCAGCTGACTGAGGAATTCTAGGAATTGAAATCACAAGTCTTAAAGCTGCCAAGTTTGGGGACCCCTGCTATAATAAATCAAATGGGGTGGAGGGTGGGGGTGGGGAGCAGAGAAGGGAGAAAGGATTTTCATGCAAATAGAACTTTAAGCTATTCAAAAGTTATCAAACCAAATGTAAAACTTCTCTGGTCAAAACTAGATCATCTGAAGTCGTATAATTCCAAAGGTGAGCTGTTCTACCTAATAACATTTTAGTGCAAAATGTGGTTATTTTCAAGCCTAGCAAGTATGAATGTCTAATTTTATAAGTGAACTGTTACAAGAGGTTTGCATATATGATATGAAACTAATCTACTATTTTAAATAGATGTAGTAGAAGGTCCCAATTTGGTTGCACTTCCTTTCCTTGTAAATTATCATTTTCCATATTTATCATGACATTGTAGCATGATTCTCATGGTACTGGGACACGGTACGGGGACATGTTGAGCTTCTGTGCATTCTTGAATTTTTAATTGGGTCTTAACACATAAACATTTAACAAGGAAAAATCTGTTGTGTCTCTCTTTTACCTCTGGGAGATTTAGTTCTTGCAAAAAGTATAACTGAATGTTGTTCTTTCTCAGTGAAAGGGAAAGATGTTCACACATCCACAGGGAAAGACAGCATTCTGCTAGAATCAAAATATATTAGGTTCCCTATCCTCAATTCCAAAATGTGGCCCCTAAAAACAACAGTTTTACCTTATTCCAATTTACTTAACTAAAATAGCTAAAATTTAGAAATCTAATTCATTTATATATGACTTGATGACACATAATCAATGCATTAATTTTAGCCTTTGGCAAGATAGCTTAAAATAAAAAAGAAGGGGGAATTGTGGACTTGGTATAGATCAAGACAATTGTTTCAATTTTGTATTTATATAATATACACATATCTGCATGATTTACAGATTATATATCCATACACTGAAAAAAACATGATTACATTCATATTTATATAAAAGTACATTCTATTAAACCTCAAGTACTTATAAGGTTTTTTTTTCTTCCAATTGTGTCCAATTCTCACAGACTGCATGGACTGCACTTCTGCACTTTTCTTGGCAAGATTTTTCAAAAGTGGTTTGCTTTCCTCCTCAGGCTAAGAGAAATGACTAGCTCAAGGTCACCCAGCTGAAACCGTATCTAAGGTTGGATTAGAAATCAGTCTCTCAATTTTTATTCTGATACTTTAATCACTTCATCAAACCTGTTATTAATATTATCCAGGTCTGACCTTGCTTAGTTCAACCCAGCTGTAGGATTTAATTCATCCTGTACACAGAAAAACTCCTTATTTGTAAGTAAAGATGTATATTTTGAAATACATTATGTCACTTTTTCCCCCAAAATTTCTAATGTGACCTACAAGATATTAACAAGTATTTTTTTAAAAAAATTATAACTGTTTAAAAATAAAATAACAGTAGCAGAACACCAAGAATAAAATCTTGCACCAATAAATCAAGGAAGCAAAATCTTCAAGAGCCAAGAAAGAGAATGCCTGAAGTGGTAATATTGCAGTTTTTTCAAAAGGTAGTATTAGATAAAAGTACTAGACACCTATGCAAATCTATGTAAATTTGCTTTGATATGAGAAACAGTTGTTTCGAGGATCATATTTCAGATAAAATGCCCATTTCCTTATTACCATTCCAAATTTGGAGGTAAAAAGTGTGCAGCTTTCACAGTGTTAAGTAGGTTTTTGGAGCTGATTATAATTTTAAGAATTATGTTTTCCATAATACTTTATTTACAACTTGAATTGCTGTTATTTTTATTTACAACTTGAATTGCTGTTATTTTTAAAATCAAAATGTTAGAGGATTGTTCAACATTTTTTCTTTTGTTCTTCTAGCCATATTGAGAAAAATAAAACCATTATATTAGAAACAATCTGGTGCCTTCCTGAAGTTTTAAACTACAGGTTCCCAAAGCCACTGCCACTCAAGATTTGTGAAGTTGGCCAAAATCTGGATTGTATAGGATTATACTATATTATCACCCAGATGGAAAGGGAAGCAAATGTATAGGATATTTTTGTTTCCCTTTGGCCTTTTTAATTTTCTCTTTTAAGAAAATGTTGATTTTATTTATCTCTGCATGTATGTTGATGGCCGATTTGTCTGAATGCCGGCTTCAGGAATTCTCTGAGACCTTGGGACTTGGCTTGATCTAGGATACTTACAGTTTTATAGTTGAAATTATGGTTGAGTCTGTCCATTTGTTATGAAAGTAAGGAGTTTTCATTATGTCTTTTGACTGCACGGATGTGCTGTTAAAATAAGAAGGAAACAAAAATATCAAAACACCTCCTCACCAGAAATCAACACTCAGAGGAGCAGAGATTAACACCAAGATTAACACTAGGTCAACAATCAAGAAAACAATACCCCAATCAAAGAACTATCAATGCAGATAAACAGTAAACAGATAATCAAGGAACCTCCCACCAACACCAGAACACTAGTATTTGAACATAAAAGCAATCTCCATTCCCCATTCCTTTCCAGCACTGATGATGTTACCTAGTTTAGTAACGAAACATCTGCAGGAAAACCTCATGGTCAAAGACTACCAAGGAGCCCACAATTAGATTCCTCTTTGCAACATCTACTTAGCAGAAACCTGCCTCAAAAGTTTATTTTCTCCAACAATAATTGCCCCAGCTCATCACCAGATTTGGAGGCAAGGACATGTCCAGATTGTGAAAATGCAAATCCAATGATACCGATTCCCTAGGATCTTATGAGTTCTTGAAGGCAAGGTGGTTGATACAAGATAGAAAGTTTGCATTTGTATTTGCATTATCCACGGCATGGTGCCTGAAGGTTATTTGAAAGGAAGGGCTCTTTGACAGCAGATACTTAGCATGTCACCAATAGAGAAACTGGCCACTTTGACACGAAACTCTTAAGGCTGAGTAACCATCAGAATGGAACTGCTTCCTTGCAGCGTTTCCATGGTAGCGACCCGGCGAACTGCACAGAGGATACAGCTGACTTAAAGGGAATGGATAGAGTTCTGCAATAACGATTATGCTAGCGATCAGCAGGGGGAGCTCAAACTCTCGGCGGTGTGGCAGAAGATTGGAGGAAACGAAAGGCCCGTTAGAGGCCCGCTTCACGTGACCCAGCAAGGCCTCTGAAGGCCCACATAAGCCGGAAGTAGGTTTTCTTGCCTGGGATGAGGTAGCAACCTACAGGAAGTCAAGCTTGGTTTTTGAAACTTCGGCCCGAACTGAGACGGGAAGGCTGTGGGGTGGGTTCCGTGGACTCGCTAGCGGTTGGTATGATGAGCGATGGGTCAGGAGAGCCGACTACGGAGGTCCCGCCCGTTACCGGAAGAGGGATTCATATCGTCGTGGAATACTGGTGAGCGAAAGAGAGCCGGAGGGCGGCGCCTGTGGGGGGAAGGCCACGCCTCGGCAGAGGGTAATCCCGCCCATCCATGGAGGCTGCGAAAGCTGGTTGCTGTTTTCTCTCGTGCTTCTTGATTTCGCTGCCTGGCTCCCCTTCAAAGTTGCGCTATTAAGGCTGGGAGGTAGAGAGTCGCCTTTTCTTTCCTCCGTGTTTGCGTCTTAATTTCTTTGTTCTTGGGCCAATGCGGTTGCTTTATAGCAGCGTTTCCCAACAGAAATTCTAACAGAAACACAAGTTTCCCAGACTTGAAATTCTAGACCTAGACAACCTAGAACTACGCCGCCTTCCGTCCGATCTAAGTATAGTACATAAAATCATACATTGCAACGACTTACCTGTCAATGAATACTTCAGCTTCAACCATAACACAAGAGCAAACAATAGATACAAACTCAAGGTTAATTGCACCAAACTTGATTGCAGGAAATACGACTTCAGCCACAGAGTGGTCAGTGCCTGGAATACTTTACCTGACTCTGTGGTTTCTTCCCCTAATCCCCAAAACTTTAATCTTAGACTGTCTACTATTGACCTCACCCCTTTCCTAAGAGGTCTGTAGGGGGCGTGCATAATATGGGCACCAACGTGCCTACCGTCCCTGTCCCATTGATTCTTTTTGTTTTTCTTATATGTACCCATTTCATGTATTCATAACTATGTTTATACTTATACCTGTTATCTTATAATTACTTGAAAAAATAAAATAAAATGGCAACTTTTAAGACTCGGGAACTTCAACTCCCAGAATTCCCTGGCTACCCTGGTTTATGTCATAAACTTTATGATATAACCACCTTGACGTGAATTTTTACAGATCACAAGGGACAGAATAACATGCCTTCCTGGGTTCTTCACAAACCAAATCTTACTGTAAGGTCAAATAACAGTGGGGTTTAGTTTGGCTCCTTGATGTTGGGAGAATGTTTGTGTGCTCAAGGTTTATTTAGCCTATCTATCTGTATTTTATCAAGCTTAGAAGCCAAAGAACTAGTTTGCCCGGCATGGTTCAGAGTTTAATGACAGAAGCATGCCTGGAAAGCAGAATAATAGCATGAGTTACTATATTTTATGTAAAAATGTGGGTATTTTTCTTTTGGTAATATTTGCAAAATGTTGGAATGCAGCCCCTGGTTCCACAGAAAGATGATGCACCATAAAGACATTTACTCTTTGTGAATTCTTCAGTCTCGTGTGAACCATCTTTTAGTACTATTTTTAAAATAAGCAGGTAATGCATATGTAAAAATCAAATATTTTATTGCCTCCACCCAACTTTCACTTTACTGCCTTTTTTACTGAAGATCTTACCCTATCTTCAACTTAAACTTTACACCAACACTAAATTTCTCTTTTTAGCAAGCCCTGTGGCTTTGAATCTGCCTACCTGGAACTGGCAAGTGCTGTAAAAGAAGAGTACCCCGATGTGGAGATCGAATCCCGTCTTGGGGGCACAGGTACAAGTTAGTGTCTGTATGCTAATAAGCAGCAGCAATTAGAAAGATCTCATTTATATGATGGAATGAACATACTATGTCTATGAAATTAATGTCTGCATAATAAACATGTACATTAGAAGATCACCAGTATGGGCTGGTTGTACCCCTTGGAATTAGGGAACTAGCCTATGATCAGTCCTAAGAGTTTAAGAGAACAAAGTTCATACTCATATAAATTAAAATGAGAACAAGAGATAATAGTAGGGAAAGAAAAATTTATATTTTTGCCCCTGTTTGCTAGGTCACCTATTGAAATCTCTATATACTGTATATTTTCATGGGTAAGCTGAGAATCTTAGGTCCTAAAATATATCCCTCAAATTGAGTTCAGTTTATCTGCTGAGTTTATCTGTATATTATTAAGAAATACCTGGTGAATAATTAAAGAACTCCAGATGGTTTTGAAAAGTTGACCTTTACTGTATACCCAGTAAAAATTTACAATGCTACAAGCAGATGAGTTGTCTTCTAATATTTGGACTTTCACATGGATTGTCCACATCCAAGTACAGATGTATATACTCATAGGTATGAGTATGAAATCTTACTGTCACTTTATAGGTTTATTTTTGAGATAGGTGACACAAGCAGGTTTTTGATTCTGGATGAATTAATATGAACTGAACTGGTTATAATGCAACATATTTTTTAAAGGTGCCTTTGAAATAGAAATAAATGGACAATTGATCTTCTCCAAACTTGAGAATGGAGGATTCCCTTATGAGAAAGACGTGAGTTCTTATTTTTTCCTGCTATTCCTCAAAATATTATTTTGGAAGAAAGCTTATATATCTAAGGTAATGGTCAAATTGTTCTCATGTAGGGTTTCAGAGATGAAATCAGCAACATAGTGTAGGATTTGACTAGTTTTAATTTAAAAGTAGAGGAATGGTTAGATGCTGAAAATGATGTTGATATTTGCTTTAGAAGTTATAGTCATCCTTGACTTTATTTGAAAAAATACTGTGTAGACATGCCAGGAATAAAATTGTATTCTTAATTCATGTTCTCATCCAGATAAAATGGGAGCATTATTCTAATAATATTTCTCACTTCCTCATAAAACATACAGTTGTAGGCTAGATCTAGTTAGCCTATCCTATAGTTAGAATAGAAAAGTTGTTATAGGTATGATAGAAAAAAAGTATATCTCTTCTTCCAGTAGCCTCCATTTTCCTTCAAACCTGTTCCAGAGAGATGATAATATTGCAGAATAGTGGGGAGGGGACACTTCAGGTAGGAGGAAAAGGGAAATCCCTTGTAGAAGTGAAAATGTGTTCACATAACACGGGAGTTAAAAATCCTCCACTTTCAAGGTTCATGGGGAAAGAAATTATGTACAAGAGATTTAGTTTTCCTTCCTTGATTGTATTATTCATATTATAAAACACTTTGATATACTCCTGGTATTTCTTAAAAAGATATATATATATATATTTTGCCCAATAAATTCAGACGGCATTTTGACAATTTATTCTTTTTCACTCAGTCTATTGAAAATGGGGTGGAAAATTACAGAGTTTATTTTCTCCATTTTGTCTCTTTAGCTCATTGAAGCCATTCGGAGGGCTAGCAATGGAGAGCCACTTGAGAAAATCACCAAGAGCCGGCCACCTTGTGTCATTCTTTAGTGTATTTTTTACATTTACTCCATGTTCTCTACTTGCCCACCCTCCCTGAATCCTTGTCACTTTTGGTTCCAATTTTTGCTTCCAATTTTTGCTTCCAACTTTTGCTTCTGGTATTAATTCAATCAATAGTTTAATACCTGATCAGGATAGACATTAAAATAATTTTGGTTGTTTACAAACAAGTAAAATAAGCTAGAACTAGAACTTAAGCCATATTTGGGGGGTTGATTTAACAGGGCTTATTCAATAAAGTAATCTTTTTTTCTTGAGGACAATTTAATGTAATTCATTTTTCTATTTTTTGAGATGCTAGCATGGATCTTTCCTGTTGTATTTTTTTTTAATCCCATCTGAATGAACAGGAGTAAAACCTTGTCTTAGATGTCTTAGAACATCTAAGATCTTTTAGCTTATCTGCCTTTAAAGCCTCAACTTCTGGCCATTTTCCTGCTCCTTTCCAGGGATTTAGAGTGAGTTGGTGCCACAACCTGACTTCATTATGAGATCTGCAGGTTCAGAGTGAAGCTTGATAAGAAGTCTTCCCAATAGTCCTGTATAGGGACAATTGATACTACAGCAAATGTTTTCAAGGACCACATATTTTAAAGCAACATTTTGGGGGTCATTGTTGCTAAAGGAGTGCTTCAGAATGAAAAACATCCTACACCTCACACTACATGAATGAGAATTAATCACAATCTTTTTGCTCCCCAACTCCACTGATTTATCTTTGGTTTAGAGTTTCCCTAATTTTACGTGAAATTCAATCGAGTTAACCAGGACAATGTTGCCACATGTGAGAGGGGAATATTTAGATACTCATTTCTTTTCTACACTGCTCTGAACTTGCAAATGATCATCCTTCTAAGATATCCCCAAACTAGGCATGATTTGTTGACAAAGAAAGTAGTTCTTTGATGCTTATATTCTGAATTAGTTTTTTCTGAGAACAAGTATAAAATCGAAAGTAATTCATAGTAGGACATTTAAAAATTATTTTATGGGTGACTTATATTTACAGCTCAATTGTCTTGTTAAAAACTAGACTTCTTGAACTTTTTACCCGCTCCCAGTAAGTATTTTTGTAGTTTAATTATTTCAACAGTAAGTTATAAACCTAACTCTTCCATTGCAATCATGAGACTTTTAAGAGTTTCATTTGGATCAGAGTATGTACCTGTCTAACTTGAAGTGTTTCCTTGCAAACAGTCTTTCTTTTGATTAAATTGTAGATCTATATCTATTATACTAGTAATACAGATTTCATGACATGAACTTATTGTCATAGTAGGTATTCTCATCAGTACATATGGCAAATATTGAAATTAGAACATAAGTTATCAACCCTGTAACTGCATGTTTCACAGCTTATGTCATAGGAATGAGCAATATAATTTTCTTTAGTTTTTACTTTACTGTCATTTTCACTGTACTGTGATGCCTCTATTTTGATTCTAATAATCCAGTTTTCGTCTTGGATCTATCAGTGAGTAATTCTAAGAAGTAATTGAAAATGCTGCTGCTTGTTGGCCCCTTTGCTGGGGCCAGACGGTGAAAGGCACCAATAATCTTCCTGCTTCCAAAGTCTTAATTTATATGTTGAAATTGTTGATGAGCCTCTATTTAGTGCAATTTATAATAAAGGAGAAAATGCTAAAATGCTTGCAATATATTGTCTGTGTGATTCTCTTAATTAATTAGAGCTTTTCACTTTTGGGGAATAGCTTGAAAAAATAAGATTGCTGTTTGCAAGGCATGATATGGGGTAGGATTTAAAATTTTGCAATTTAGAATGAAGAAAATTTAAACATTAAATTAAAATAGTTTGATTTTTTAAAAGTTTTTTTTCCCTATTAAAAGTAGACAGTCTCAATTGCAGGGGTTTGCTCTGAGCATGAAACAAGATTGTCTGTATTTGCTTCTATTCTTTGGCTGCAAAAAAATCTCACTGGATCAGCCCAGTGAAGAGTTCCTTTCACTGGTACCATACAAGAGATATAAGGAGAGAGAAAGACAGGGAGTTGGTTCTAAAGAAAGTGGCTAGGTGCCCTAACTGACCAAGGAAAGGAAGAGTTCCTTGTGCTAACAGTCTCACGCTAAAAAAAAGTATTTTCCACATGTTCAAAAGTCCACCTTCCATCTTGAACATGCATGAAGGGAAGGGAAAAAAAAGCAAGACTAAAGTAAGACTTATATGAACACTTACATGGATATACAATATTGACATCTGGCCTTAAGTTCTGGCCAAAGAATTGGAATGATTTATGTCTGTACTACAGCATCCATGCCTTGTTCCTATAGGCAATTTTAAATTACTAAAATGGTCAATGAATAGAACCAGTGCAAAGGTTAAGTGAAGAGAGGTCAGCCACCCTATAACTTTTTTCTTAAAAGATACAAAGTCTCCTTTTTACTGTTCCTCAATGTCATTAGCCTTTCATCTTTTATTGGCCTTTCTCCTTCCTCTCCCCGCCTCCCCCCCCTTTTTTTTTTAGAAATCTGCTACACTAATATCTCTGCTTGGGGAAAGGGATCTTTTGAGATGAATCAGGCTGAGAGTGGCCCAAAATCTAGTAGGGAAAAACAGCTAGGTTAGCTATTGACCTAGAATTTTTCTAAGATGTAATTATTAATTCAACAGTACTATGTTGTATTATCTCAGACTCAATTGTTTTGCTCTTTTCATCCTAAAATAGGATTTTTTTTGTATAATATATACATTTTTGTATAAATTTATGTAATTCCTAAAACATAGAAATCTCAATGACCTGGGCAAAAGGAATCATGGTCCCAGTTTTCTGCTGTCAAAAGCATCTAAATTCTGCCCAAAGGGTAGACTTTCTCTAGAGATTATTTCTGACCCTATATATGTGGGATTGAGCAGTTACAGAAATGTCAGTTTAAGGGACAATAACAATAAAAAAGCTTCAACACAAATGTTATAGAAAATGAAAACTATATTATACATTTCTCAGATATACAAATACTTATACCACATTTTTCTTTTTTTAAAAATAGCACTGACAGCTGATACCTCTCACTGATTTAACTTAGTACCAGCTGGAAAATACAGGTTTCAATGGAAACAGGCGAATACGCAAATACAGTGAACTTCAAAAATAGTAAACAAATCATTCTTTAGAACAGCTACATACACAATATAATTCTATTGTATTGATTTGTTTCTTACTGTTTTCTATAGTTTTTGTAAATGGTATTCAATTCCAAGACATTCTTTATTTACAATGAACAAGCTGTACCAATCACACTACGTCCCTTATCTCTTCAAGGATCTTTAGCTAACCTGCTGCCACCATCTGCAACTTTCAGAATTACTGACATACGTAGCCATTTCAGATATTTAAATATCAAAACAAAAGGCATTTCTCCAGATCCTCAGACTTGTTCTCTGTATGTACATATTGAAAGTGGTTACTTTTTTTGTCAGTGTTAGGAAGTCCTGGTAAAGCTTTAAATTCTCTTGTTCTATTTCATGTAAAGACATCAGAAAACGGTGCACTAATGTTAGCATCTCCATTTCATTACCCCACTTTTCAAATTTGATTCAAAAAGAGAGGAAGAAATAGAATTAGTTATAATCACAGTATTTATTCAGAATGGTTTTAGAAAAAGTTCTAGACAATCCGCGACCTACTGAGTCACTGTTTCAGAGATATTTCCTTATTAAATAAACAGAAAAAGAATGACCACTGGTGGGTAAAAAAGCAATGGAGTGTGATTAATTCCTGACTTCGTGTCAACTTCCCCACTGACTTTCCTTGTAGGAAGCTGGCAGGGAATATTGTAAATTAAAATCATGTGATTGCAATTAACTGCAGCAGTATGGTGGCATGGCAGCATTGAAATGGGCACAAAATTGCCAAATTTCAGTCCCATGGGAGTCATGGGTCCCAGATTTGGGATGCATTCTGTAAGTTAGCACATTTGCGGTACATAGATTCAGCAAATTGTTGCTTTCTGAATTTTTGCTTTTGTGTTTTGCCTAAGTGAAAGTTGCAACTAAACAAAACGAATTTTAGCAGTATATAATAGACCTACAATCATGACACATGGAATGGGAGATACTGACTTACAGGAACCTTCCCCAGTCTAGTGCTTTTCAGACATGTTACTCTTCCATTCCAACATACCACAGAAAAACGGTCTTGGGATTCATTTAGTTACATGTCACTAAATTCACTTAAGAGACATCAATTATTTTTATACACAGCATTTTAACATAATAGTAATAGTTAAGAATTAATTCATTGAACAAAGACTTCAATTAGAAGAAGTACAACCTGGAAAGTAACAAATCAACTTTTAAGAGGACCACTGCTGGCATAAATGTACACTGATTACAGATTAGTTCTTCCAGAGAGTAAAAAATTAAGCACCCCTTAATCTGTGCTTAATGAAAAAGTTCCTTTATGTTGCTTCATAAATTACACTGAGTAATTCTGTACTCTACTTTACACAGTTTTGTAGCCTTGAGTGCATGAGAGAAAGAGGCATTTCTTGAGTATCAAAAATTTACCCACAATTATATTAAATATATTAGCTTTTTTTAAAAAAGTCATATTAGTGGTCCTCAGGATTTAAAAGTAGTTGGCCCTGGGATCCAAAAGGTTGGTGACCCCTGATTTAGAAGACATATCTATATCTATGCATTTCAAACATACATTTGCCTCCATCAATGCTGGACTCATTTTTAAAAGCAAGGTTCTTAGAAATCTATATTTGGCACTATCAGTCTGCCCTTTCATATATTACGTGTACAGCTTTCACTTACTTAAGAAACAAATATTTCAAAAGCACTGTTAAAGGAGACATATTGAACCTATGAAGAAACTTCCTTCTAGTATTGTCTCTAACTGAAGCAATATGTTAGATGCTTTTTGTCAGTACTCTTGGTAGAAGCTAAGCAGTGGCATGTCAAAGATCATATACTATCAATTGCTTTCCAATCCAAACATTCCCTTTCTGAATTAGCATCACATAGTTTAGTTTTGGTTCCTCAACTGCCTCTTCTAGAAACTTCGGCAAAACAAATTTGTCACTAAGCAAAACTCTTTGTTCTAAAATACCTTGTTGAAAAAACATAAATTATTTTGTTCTACTTTGCTATAATGGTATATTATTCCCATCCTAGGGTTGAAGAATATCTGTTTAAGCGATAAAATTTCCCAAAATCATGCTTTGCCCTTATTTTCCACTCTTCCTGTCAGTCCAAACTCCGGTAAGAATGTTTTCGCTCTTCTTAATGTATTATAATTCCAACTTGTCATTTTCCAGGATCTTCTGGTAGTCTGACCCTCTTATCTTGAATCCCAAGACATCAAAAGCAGGGACTACAGGTATGGTGAGAAGTAAAAGAGCACTCCATTCTGCTGAAGTACCCAAATGGCAGCTGAGCTGCTTGAATCAGAGGAATGTCACAGATGTAGTGCCTTACAGCCCAGAAATGGGCAGACTTCAAGTTTGCAGGATTTTTAACCTCTTTTTATTTAAACCAGTGTCCGTCATCTGATTCTTGGGGTAATGGAAATAGTGTTGCAGAATTCTGAGCCAACTAGTATGTTTGATTACTGTACTATATTGACCAAAACTTGTAATTCTTCCAAACAAAAATCCATACTTGGA